AAGGGAATCTAAGCTTATTGAAGCAAGAGGGGCTTAAATTAGATAGTAATACTGACTTTCCCACTATGAGAAAAATACAAGATTATCCTAGCTCACCAAGGAGTCTCTTTTCTAAGTGATTTGGAATCTCTTGGATGGCGGAGACTCAGAGGAGTTTGTTCATTAATTAGTGATTCTCAAGCTCTTCTACATCACTGGACAAGCCTATCAAATCACCATGAGGATCATTGTGTTTGAAAGTTTCATGGTAAGCTCCTGGTTTCATCACTCTGATCTACCCCTTTCCCAGCAGAAAACTTTTCAGAGGCTAATTCAGAGTTGCAGACAGCAGGTTGCTAGCTCTGGCTGCTGGGTTCCAGGTGATGTCCCAAAGCCAATGGGGATGCTGTGCTCTGAGCCTAGATACTAGCTGTTTGTTCCTAGAAAATGAGGGGCTCAAGACTGACTGGAAGTCACAGACTCTGAACTGTAGACTCCCTTGTCCACCTTTCTAAAGGTTGAGGAGTTCAACCCAAGTGATTCAATATTGCATTTACATACAATTCTGGTAGCACTTTAAGACTTAAGAATTTACAGAGCATAAGGCCAACTGTAAGGAAACAAGTCTTCAATGCAGCTAAACTTCAAGGGATAACCAGATGTTAATGGTTAGGGACATAGTGGGATTCAGTTCACTGAGCTCTTACTAGGTGCTGGGTCCTGGGTTGGGTACTGGGTGGAGGCGGGAGAGACCCAACATAAGACTGGTGATGACAGTGATAATAAACATGTGCAAAGAGTTGACCGTACCCCAGGCATTGGTTTCATTTGTTCATTTATTCATAAACAGTAGGGGCTTCATAAATATTTGTTGAATGAACTATTCACTTGCCCCTGTTACACTGGCCTCTTCTCTGTTCCTCAGACACACCCCAGGGCCTTTGCATCGCTCTTTTCTCTATCTGGAAGGCTCTTCTTCCAGATGTTTGCATGGCTGATCCCCTCAATTCCTTCACATCTTGACTCCAATGTCCCCTTCTCAGTGAGGTCTCCCTGACCACCTAAGCTAAAATTGCAACCACCCTCTCAATCCCAGGGCCATCCTGGTCCTTTTTCCTCACTTTGCTCTTTGCCCTTAGCACTATCCAGCATGCTGTTTGTTGTTGTTTAGTCGCTCAGTTATGTCTGACTCTTTGCCACCCCACGGACTGAAGCATGCCAGGCTTCCCTGTCCTTCACCATCTCCCGGACCTTGCTCAAACTCATGTCCATTGAGTCAGTGATGCCATCCAACCATCTTGTCCTCTGTCTTCCCCTTCTCCTCCTGCCTTCAATCTTTCCCAGCATCAGGGCCTTTTCTGGTGTGTTATTGCCTGGTCTCCCTGCTGGCACAAGAGCTCCATGAGCGCAGGGACTTTGCGCAGCTTTGTTCACTGCTCTTGCCCACATGCCTAGGTCAGATGCTCAAATCTACCCAATGCATGAATCAAATGAAATGCTTTCTTAGTATCAATTATCCACCCAGCAGTAAGTACTAAGGATAGTGCAGTGAATGAGGCAGACAACAGTTTTTGCCCTCTAAAGCGTGTGTGCATGCCAAGTCACTTCAGTCATGTCCGACTCTTTGTGACCCTGTGGACTATAGCCTGCCAGGCTTCTCTGTCCATGGGATTCTGCAGGCAAGAATACTGGAGTGGCTCTAACGCAAAGGTCCCCAACCTGTGGGATCTAATGCCTACTGATCTGAGGTGCAGCTGATGGAATAATAATAACAAAGTGCACAATAAATGTAATGTGCTTGAATCATCCTGAAACCATCCCCGGCCCCAGGTCTGTGAAAAAAACTGTCTTCCACAAAATTGGTCCCTGGTGCCAAAAAGGTTGGGGATCACTGCTCCAGAAGACCATGGCCTGGTGGGGATAAGATATCACACTAACTACACAATAAGATCTCCATCCTGCTGAAATATGGCATAGTGGGTGCTTTATTGATATTATTTCGCTGAAATCTCACCACAACCTTAGGTCGTTGGTACGATAAGTCACAGTCTATGGATGTTATTTTCATTTTTATTGTCTAGCTGAAAATACACAGATAGGCTCTGAATTATAGAAAGGCTGGGTCTATCTAGTTGGCATATATTAATGATAATCACGTATGTGTTCTGTTGTTTAGTTGCTAGGTTGTGTCTGACTCTTTTGCGATCCCATGGATTGTAGCCCGTCAGGCTCCTCTCTCCATGGGATTTCCCAGGCAAGAAGACTGGAGTGGTTGCCATTTCCTTCTCCAGGGGATCTTCCCAACCCAGGGATCGAACCTGTGTCTCCTGCATTGGCAGGTGAATTCTTTAGCATTTGAGCCACCAGGGAAGCCCTATCTATGTGTAACTTAGCTATAATGGTCTTTGTTCATACTCATGACTTTCCGTGAATCCTGTGATGTGTTCGTCCTGCTCTGTAAGCGAGGACTAGAGAAGTTAAAGAACTTGCCAGAGGGACACTACCAGATAGCGTCAAACCAAATCTGTATCCTCACCACTCTTCCTCATTCTGAACAACCCAAATGGTGGAGGGACTAATTGGGGTATGGGGTAGTCAGGGACTAGATTTTGCTAGAGAAGGAGGCAGTTGGGACTTCCAGGCTGAAGGGCTGGGGAGAAGACCTTGAATAGAGAATGAAAGCTTGCAGGTGGCTGTAAGTCAGGGAGAGGTAGGCTGAGTAGGATCCTAGGTGAGTGAGGAGGCATGGTTCTCAAACTCCCATCCCCCAACACACTCTTGGTCATTGTGGTTTGATTCTAACAAGGAGACATGGGAGATTCTTGAGCCATGGGCAGGATGAAAATGGTCTCTGAAGAACACAGTTTTTGCAGAGCTACCTCTCCATCCCATTCACTGAAGAATACATTATGTCTACATACCTCTTCAGCTTTTTTGGTTAAATTAGCAAATTATCTAAATCTATCGCAAGACATTGCATTTCCACATTTCCACCTCTAAGCTTTCAAAACTTTCTTTTCTAACACCCCCATCCACTAAGAGTAGGTACCCTGGAAGGGGACTGCTGAGAATCAGAGGTCTAGCATTCTCAGTGACAGACTGTCATACACATCCGATGAGCAACCCTGGATTGCCTCCTACAATCCAGGCAAACTGCGGGGGACCAGGGCTGAGGAAAGGAACAGATGACAGTCTCTGCCCTGAAAGCCTCAGCGTGAATGACAGTAAGCAAACAGGCAATTAGAGCACATCACACACAGTAAGTGCTATGACCCATCTGGGAGCTGGGACAGCACCAGGGAGGGACATCTTATCCAGGTGGGGGTGGGGCAGGAAAAAGCAGCTGAGTACCTAAGAGAATATGGCAGATTAGGGCAACTCTAGGAAAGCTCAGCCTGGCTAAACAAAGGGTAAGGAGAGATTTGAGGAAGTGAGGCTAGAGAGAGAGAGAAGTAGGGGCCAGACTATGAAGGACTTTGTAATGTCACGCTAAGGCACTGGTTCTCAGAATTCTTTTTTTCCCATAACACTCCTGAGGGATGAAAAGTAGGTCCATCAGCAGCATGGTGAGAGAACAGTTGTGCAGGTAAGTCGCCTGTGTCAGGTTGAAATACAGTCCTCCCTTGCCCTTCCCAGTTTGAGATTCACGGTGCTTATCAAGAGTCTAGATTTCTGCAGAAGTCTGACTAGCCTTGGATCAATTACCTCATCCTGCTAAGCTTTGTCTTCTTATTGGTCTACACATTCATGTGCTGGTTGAGGTTATGAGCCCAGGATCAATTGCCTGGTCTTTAGCCCAAATGACACCCACCATTCTCAAGCTGTGCCACCTTGTATGAGAGCTGTTCATCCTCTTCGGCAAACTGGATCAGTACCACTGTGGTGCCCACATCAAAGGCTCAGTGAGCATGAAAGGGGGTAAAGCATGTGAAGCTCCTGGCACGGTGCCTGGGATGAGCGAGCAGTAAATGTTGGCTAACAGAATATTGCAGCACCTCTGAGTCTCCCAGTGTTGGCAACCATCCTCTCTTTGTCATGCCCATTCCCATCATTGTTACCGTCATCATCATCAGCATCATCACCTTCATCATCTCTATCCTCTTGATGCTCAAGTTCTAGGAGGTCATTTCTCATTGGGTTCCTCCCCTGCACTGTCCTTCCTTTCATAAGACACTGTGGTTATCTTATGAAAGAGAAGGCCCTACATAGATAACAAGAGATTCATCATATTCACTGAGTTCCTGTTATGTGTCAGACATTGTTTTGAGTACTGAGGATATGAGAATGAGCTAAATGAAGTTCCCAATCATGGTATTTACTAATGAGAAGAGACATACAGCAATGATTCAATAAGCATATACATAGTAATCACAGAAAAATAAACGAGGGAAAGAGGGATAGACAGTGTCTCGGGTTGGGCAGTTGTTATTTCATATCAGATGGTCAGGGAAGAGCTGGCCTAGAGGTGACATTTGAATTGAGGAAGGCCACCACCTGGTGGAGACCTGGGGCTGAAGTTTGGTGGGCACAGGGGACAAAATTACAAAGGCCCACAAAATAGGGAGATACTTGGCATATTGAGGAGCAATAGGAGGCTAGTGTGGCTGGATGGCAGTAATAGGGAGCAATTAAGAAGGTATGAGAGGGAGCAGGGGGCCAGGACACAGGGACCCTTGGAGGTCATTGTAAAACCTGCCTTTGGCTCTGACTGTCTTGAAGAGTCTTCACAGGGTTTTGGAAAGAGGTGTGAGAGGATCTGACTTATATTTTGAGGGACTGCTCTGGCTTTTGTTTTGAAAAAAGACCACAGGGAAGCAGCAAGTGCTTAAGCAGGGAGTCCAGTAGGAGAGTATTTCAATAACCCAGGTGTATGTGGGTGGTGACTTGGATCCATGGGGTAATTGTGCAGGTCATAAGAAGTCAGAGATGCTAGATAAAATTTGCTAATACATTGCACTGGGTGTGGGGGGATGGGTGACAGAAGGAGAGGAGTCAAGGATGATTCCTGAGCAACCGGACGGATGTTACTGACATGTGCTGGGATGAGGAAGACCATGAGTGGACGAGAAGATCAAGTGAGTATTCATGTTACCTCTATGGAGTAGGGATTATGGTTTTCTTCCATAAAAACTAGGACTCAGTTAAGTGAAGCCTCATATAGTGTCGGGAGTTCCAAGAAATAATTCCCCTACTGCATGGAGCTCAGGCTTTGGAGCTGGGGAGCTCCTGGGACTGGGGACCACTGAGACTAACAGACACCCTGCTTGTGGGGCATTGAGCCTCATGCCTTGACCTCTTGTCAACCTGGAATAGAGAAGAAGCAATCGAAGTAATAGGGGCTTTCTATTTAGCCATTCTAACTGAAATGCAGACAATCCAAGGGCTGAAGGCTTAAAGAGCTCTAGGTAGTTGAAGATCCTTGCAGTTCAGGGTGTTCAAAAGCATCTTTGCACAAGCTGGGGGAAAGGAAGAGATGTCTTTAGCTCCTTGTTTTTCTACCTACATTCCTGACCATCAAACATACTTTATGGAGGGTGAAATGGAAAAGGCTCAGAGAAGAAATCAGGAGGAGACGGGAAACTTCTTCTAAATGCTTGTTGTGTTGACAAAGAAAACAGGATAAAAGAATGGAAATCCCCAAGAACCGTTGGAGTCTTCCTGTCCTAGAAGGAGTGCTTCCACGACTACTTACCAACCTCCTCCTCTGGGTGTAGCTGAACACCACGGTGGAACCACAATCCAGAGAGAAACAGTGCTGCTTTTTCAAGTTAAACCCATCGGAGCCTGTGGTCTATAAGCCATGAATGGTGCTGGGAGATCCAAGAAATAATGATGAAAGAAAAATGTTGAAATCTAGACATAGAAGTTCTGTGTACAGCTAGACTTTCAGTGACTCTACTACTCTTTATTCACTGAGTCCTGCCATGCACCCAGGATCATAGTGTCTCTCCTTTAACCCTCACAACAAGCAGATGAAGCAGTTTTTATTACTTCTGAAGACACAGAGGTTCAGAGAGTTCACATTCCCCCATCAGTCATGGAGCTGAATTTGAACTCAAGTTAGTCTATTCCAGAGCCCATGTCTAACTATTATACTTCACTACCTCCCAAAAGGAAAAGGGCGAGAGGTACTAATAACAGTCCCATCTCCCATCCCTTCATTCTTCCAGGGCTCAGCGGAGGCAGAAAGTTAAGAAATCTGTCATTTTTAAAGCAGGCCTATGTTTTGAATCAACTTTTAAAAGTTTAAAAATGTTATTATTTCTCATGATAATCAGACTACTGGGAATTCTCTGGTGGTCCAGTGGCTAAGGCTCTGAGTTCCCAGTTCAGGGGGCTTGGGATTCAACCCCTGGTCAGGAAACTAGACCCCACATGCTACGACTAAGTGTTAGCGACTAAAGATCCCTCATGCAGCAACTATAACCTGGCCCAGTAAAATAAAAAAATAAAAAATTAAAAAAAAAAGATATACAATTGATTGAAAAAAATCAGATGACTATTTTCTATAAGAAATAGATTAATAATAAGAAAGGCCTTTAGAGATACAGAAATGGTGACCTTGAAATCCAGAGAAGAGAAGTACACTTCTCAAGGTCACAGAGATTGGTGGCAGAAGTGAGGCTAAAAAGCAGAGCTCCTGCCTCCTAGGCCAGAGCTTGACTGGGGCCCCAAAGCCGCTCTGCAAATTATCACTACCTCTGCCCTAACACAGATGATTGCTTGAAGGAGGATGGTTACTTTTTTGTGCACTAGAGATCTGAAACACAATCTGCTGAAGTTTTTAAACAAGGTTCTTCTAGCATCTTCTGATATTAGCCTTCTGCTTTCCTTTGCCATCTCCTTTCTCCCCTCCTAGGTCAGAGTCATAGGCCTTGCTGAGCAGGGAGTTTTCTATCAGAGCTCCTAGTGTTTAGTTTGAGTGGGGACATTCCTCTCTGGAGCAAATGATTGTATTTCTAGTCCAGAACCGGCTTTAATCTACTCTGGCCTCCCACACTAACAGCAACTCCTGTGTCTACCTGGCCGGCTTCTGCGAACCTCTGCAACCTGGACCCACTCCACCCAGCTCATCTCTCTTTCCTAATTGCAGCTCACCCCCTTGATACCAGACAGGTGTCCTGGGTTCACCCCCATTTCCGCCACAGAAATATCCTCCCTGCTCTCCTCCTATGCAAATCTATTCTTCAAGGCTTTGTTCAAGAACTTTCCACCTCAGAAGACTTCCCCAGGTGCAGCCCAATGGTTTGCTTTCCAAGTTCCTTTTCCATTTATAGTCTAGATGACACAATTTAGCCTTCAAAATGTTTCTGCATGTTTCTCCAGATGGGATGCAGGCCCTTTGAGGGCAGGCACATATGTTCATTCATTTAGTAGAGATTTTTAAAAGTATCTTATAAAGTGAGATTCATAGAGACATAGGCAATGGTTGCTTCCTGTCCTCAAAGAGAGGAGACTCTAGTACTTTGCAGACATTTACCTGGTATGTAGCAGACCCTCAACAAAGGTTTGCTATGTTGAACTAACCTACACAATGCTTTGCAATTGTCTTCTGTCTCTAAGTCTCATGAGAGGTATCATGTGGTTTACAGGGAAGGTTTCATGAGAGAGAGTATTTGAACTAGGCCTTAAGGATAGGGAGTGTTTTTTTAAAGGAGGAATTGAGAGACGTTTCCACGGAAAAGAAAAAGGGTTGCTAACTCACAGGCACACACACAGACAGACACCAAGATTAGGGGGAAAGAAGCTTGTAAAGTGGAGCTCAGTACCTGCCCCAGCATTAACTGGCCTTACTGAGAGTGGACCAACTGCTTAATTTCTCCATGGCCTAAGATGCCCTGGAGAAGGAAATGGCAACCCACTCCAGTATTCTTGTCTGGGAAACCCCATGGACAGAGGAGCCTGGTGGGCTACAGTCCACCGGGTCGCAAAGTGTCAGACTGCGACTTAGGGACTAAACAACAATATTAAGCCGCACAGGCTCGGGAAGAAGCAGATCAAGGTTCAAATTACGGTTATGGGAGATCTTGGGACAATCAGTTGGGGTGGGGCTCAAGCTCCGTTTGCCTCCCATTAAGCAGGTAAAATAATTCCTATCTTAGAAGACATCAGTGAGGTTTGGTAGAACATATATGTAAGCTGCGGAGCACCGAGCCTGGCATTAGTTTAGTTCCTTCCACCAGAGTAGGCGTGGAAGCCCTGATCTGCCGTCCTCTCGCCGCGGCCGCGGCCGGTGGCCAGCACGCAGCACAGAGCCTGTCCTTAGTGGGGGCGGTGGACACAGTTGGGGGGGGGGAGCTGTAAAGAGAAAATGGAGTTGAACGGGCTTCAGAAAAAGTCAACAGTGTCGACAGCGAACTGGCTGGGCTAAGTGGGTCGCTCATGACTCTTCCCTTGAACATCTTCACGCAGCCCGATAATCTGCTAACTTTTCCTAAACATGCCTTTGGGGCCAACTGGTTTTCAGAAAGTCCTTTCGGCCTCGCCTTCAAACCCCAGGAAACAGAAAAGGTCCAACCCCTGGAGGCGTGGAGGGTGGGACTGGGGAGTTGTGAGGGGGGTTGGGGGTTTCCCCAGCTCCCCGGGGAAGGGAATGGGGTTCTCTTGCGGCCCCTTTACTCCCCCTCCCAGGAACAGGGCTCCTGGGGCGCCCCCCTTCATTTCCTCTCTTAGCAAGGGTTCAGAAGGGAGCGGGGCTCGCGCTGAGCCCTCTAGACTAGGTTTTGCCCGGCTCCTCCACTTCCGACCCGCCTATCCCCGGGCCCCGGGGCCCCAGTTCAGTCGCCAGTCCGGGTCCCAGTTGACCCAGGCCTCCGCCCCCACCCTGCGGCCACCTCGGCAGCCGGTTCCCGCCTCCTTAGACCCGGCCCGGCCGCTCCCCACCTCGCCCCCTACAGCCGCCTGCCCTAACCTCCACTGACCCGGCTGGGATACCATCGTCGCCCCCCGCCCCCACCGTGCCCCAGTAGACCCCGCTCGGCCACCACCCTCCCCTCCGCCGAACCCCCAACCCCCGGACCTTTTGGTTGGGCGGCCCCTCTTTCTCAGCCACCCTCATCCCACTCCGGCTCCCGTAGACCCGGCTGGGCCGCCGCCTTCCCCTAGATCCCCTCGCCCTATCCCAGCCTCCGTAGACCCCGCGGGGCCGCCCCCCGCTCGGCCCTCCCTCTTTGGGGTCGTGGCGGCAAGGGGAGGGGCCGCCCGCCGGCCCCAGCGTGCGTGGCAGGCGCNTGCTCGCGCAGGCTCGGCCGGGTGCTCAACTTTCTCTTCTACCTCGCCCTGGTGGCGGCGGCCGCCTTCTCGGGCTGGTGTGTCCACCACGTCCTGGAGGAGGTCCAGCACGTCCGGCGCAGCCACCAGGACTTCTCCCGGCAGCGGGAGGAGCTGGGTCAGGGCTTGCAGGGCGTCGAGCAGAAGGTGGGTACCCAGGCCCCCCAACCTCCGCGCTCCCGGCGGCGGCGGCACCCGCACCCACAGCCGGGCCCCCTCGTGCCCTCCCGGCCGGGGCCCTCGCCGGCACAGGCCGGGTGGCTTCCGCCAGCGACCCGGGGTCCCCTCGCCCCGGCCCCTTGGCACCGAGGCAGCCCCCAGACCCTCTTTGTTAATGGCCGCTGAGGAATCGCCCCGAGGATGTTCTGGCCGCCCAGGAGGGTGGGCCAAGGGCCTGTCACAGGACATTAGCGGTGACCTGTAAGGAAGCCGGCAGGCTCTGGGAAGCTCATTCTTTTTGGATTAGGAACCGCTGAATGGGCAGAGTTGTCTGGAGAGAAGCTTGGAAGGGAAACCAGCGCATCCCTGGAAGCCTCGGGCAAGGCCGCACCTCTGCTCGCCCCGTGGGAGACATCTGAGCCAGATTTTAATAGACCCGGAGCCCGGGGAAAGAGAAGCTAGTAATGTTACTCATTTGTATAGTTCTGATGAAATATTTCATCTCGTTAGGCCCCCTGCACTTTATTAGACCAGTGTACCTAAGTGGGCCTTGGAAGTGTGATGGCATATTTCAGCCTTAGAGGAGAGGAACGACCAAAGATACTAGGTCACATTGGTGAATAATACCACGGAGGTACATTTATATGGTGTTTAGAGGGCTTACTCACTTATTATCTAATCCTTATGGCAGCCTTGGGAGGGAGGGAAGGAGAGAGCACTGGCAGTTTTGACTCCGTTTTCCAGACCAGAAAATTGAGATTTAGAGCTTAATTGATAAAGACTGCAGCTGGTGAGTGGCAGATTGCACGACAGTCTTGGGGCCACCGGGGCCTGTTTCAGGCAGGGATGGACCCACCTTTCAACACGAAGCTGCCTAGGGTCTACCTTTGCTGATTTTTCTTTTTACACCAAGTGCAGCTCCTTCAGCCTCGTTCCCTGTCCTCCGTCCTCCACTCATGTCATTGCTCAATGAAACTTGGTTGCATGATTGAAACAAAAAATCCCGCCACCACTTCTGAGCCCGGAACTGCTGCCTCCTTTTCCCAGCATGCTGCCGGCCCTGCCAAGTTTCTATCGACTGTGTAGAATATGCAGGACTAGGAATTTCCTCTTAAGACTGGCGGAGCAACTGGAGTGAGTCATTTTGCTCCATGCTGCAGGCCAAGGGAGGTGACTTTTCTAAGGGAATTAAGTAGGCAGCGCTGCTTTGCCTATCTGGAATGTCAAATCATTCTTAAAAAATAGACATACTGCTGAAGTATCATCAGCAGGCTCTCTGTTTCCTCTCTTGATCCACCCACTTACCAATCAATCATAATATTTGGTGAAGTCTGATAGTCGCATGGCTCCTAGTAAGCACTGTGGAGGGTGCGAAGGACAAATCCTATTTGTGAAGCAGCCTACAGGTAGGTTTGGGTTGAGGGTGACTGCTCTGTGAGTTCAGAAGAGAGAGAAGGTGGAGTTTGCCCAGGCCTGTGACCCAGTGGCCAGCGTGGTACCAGTCTAGATCTATATGGTGGTGGATAACTGTTGAGAGGCGGCGTGAGGAACACACAGGCTTGTTTGGCAGATGCTACATGGCCATCCTGCCCGCAGCAGAGTAACATTTAAGGAGGCTGTGAGAGGGGAGGCTGAAGCGGAGGCCCGGATGGTGAAGGTCTTGAGTTGAGGCAGGAGAAATTGAGGTTTATTCTCTCTGCTTCCTCCCTGCCCCTCCCTTATTCTTTCATCTGGTTCCCACTCTTGCTCCATCATAGCTTCGTACAGATTCCCTTTCCTTTGGGGTACTCAGTTCTTCCATCTCCACAGTAAGGGGAGGACTCTCTCCAGGTTTTCAAGAATCCACCTGGCTGTAAACCATTGAAATTGTGACCTTTCCTTTTTAGTAGTGTAGTCAGGCTCATATTTAATGCCTCATGTTTATTGTGCATTCATCTGACTCTCACAGTGCCAACAGGTAGACTGATACAATCCCCTTTTCACAGACCGGGAAAGTGAGCAGCAGGAGGCTGAGTAACTCTACATGGTTACACAACCAGCAAGTAGCATTGCTAGGATTCAAACTGCAGTGAACTCCTAGAACACGCTTCACCACTTACCTGTTCATTTTGCCATCTTTCCCATGCCTTGCTTAGTACCTCGTAGGTGCTCAGTTAATGCTTATTGCATTGACTTGGAACATTTGCCACATGGGATCTTCCACTGCATGTGGTCAGTTCTCTCTGCATCTCCAGGGTGGCCAGTAGATTTTACTTTGCCTTGAGGAGTGAGTAGTGATGAGTGGTCCTCTGACAAACTAAGTTTGAGCACCGTATTCCTCTGAGGATGAGGGTTTGGTTCTTCTCAGAGACATATTCTTACTGTAGTGTTATTATTCATAATTAGTCTTCATTATGGGCCAGGTATTCCCTGTTACCCTCTGAGACATGAGCACCATTTCACAGGTAGGCCAGCTGAGTCTGGAGCAGTTGTGTTACTCATTCAGGTCACGTGCAGACCCTCAGTGGTGGAGCTGGGGTTGGAAGCAGAGCAGGGTGACTTTGAAGCATGCTATTCCACTCCCCTTTTGGGTGCCCACCTGGTCTTGTTCTCAGATACTGTCAGTTCTGGGGCATGGCCCAGGTCTGCTGAATGGGCCAAGAGGCTGGCCTGTTCTTAGCCTGAAGATTTCAGCAGGCACAAACGGGCGCAAGGCTTCAGAAACCCTGGTTTTGGTCTAGGCCCTCTGAAGGGCTCGGGTTGCCTTGGCAGATCTAGGGTGGCATACAATGATTTTAGGAGTAGGCATAAGGCTGGCAGGGTCAGTTGAATGAGACTAAGAGCTGTTTGTGGGCAAGTGAGTTCTCTGGTTGTATTTCTTTGTCCTCTCATCTTACTCTGGGCTAGGAGTCATGGCTTGAGGCTGAGCACACTCGGTGCACTTTGAACATGCTTCTTCCCGGGTGTATCACTGGAGGCCAAGAGTGCAGTTTCTAAACTCAGACATTCCTGGATTCTGATGCTCAGCTCTACCACTTCCCAGCCTCCTGCTTTGTAAAATGGGGATCAATAGGAGCTGCCATGAGATGATTATCAGAGTGGATTGAGATGATGTCTCTTAAATTTGCGTAATTATTTACATCAAGTTCCTGTTGAATATCAGCCACCACTACCTAGTCTCACCCCTGCCCCTACTGTGAGCTCCTCGGGGGCAGGGGTCCTGTCTTAGTGTCACTCTGCCCTGGCATCTTGTCCACCACTTAGTGGGCATCCCACATGTGCTGGGGAAACGTACAGTCACTGCATATTGGTTATAATGGGGTCTTTGCATGTGAAGATGGACAGCTCAGAGGATGAACAGCACCAACATAGGCGGACACCTTGTGTGCTCTTTGCATTGGTTTCATCGGTCATTTCCGATCTAGTCCCCTTCCTAGCCATCTGTAAAGAGCCAGTCCAGGTTAGGAGTGACAAGACGGGTTGGGAGAAATGGACCAGCCTGGTCTTCATCAGGCTTTGCTCTGTAAACTCATTCATTCTTTGATTCATTCAGAAAACACTGATGAACACCTACCATGTTTCAGGTACTGTGCCTACCTGTTCACACCACTGTTCTGAAATCTGTGCTCAGAACAGGTAGATTCTGTGACTGAATAACCTAATTTCAGAGGTCAGCTGTCTCTGGTACCTTCTCAAGGTGTCCTTTATGACTCAGGTTATATTTGGTTGAGCAGGGAAATTGTCTAAGTATTCTGGAGTCCCTGAGAACCTTATTCTAATTTGCTTTAAAATCACAGACTGGTAGAAGCAATAAAGGACTTTAGAAACCTATTTGTTAATAGATGAAGAACTTGGGACTTGGAATTTGAGTGTGACTTCCTTGTGCTCACAGAGATGGTTATTGGTGGGACTGGAACTAGAGCCCAGAATACTGTTCATAATGAAGGTGACAGTTACTGTTCACAGGTTGCACGGTGGTAAAGACTCTACCTGCTAATGCAGGAGACACAACAGATGTGGGTTTGATCCCTGGGTCAGGAAGATCCCCTGAAGGAGGAAATGGCAACCCGCTCTAGGATTCTTGCCTGGAAATTCCCATGGACAGAGGAGCTCTGAGGGCTATAGTCCATGGGGTTGCAAAGAGTGAGCGACAGGACACAGCTATGTGTTAGACCCAATTTAAGTGCTTTATATATATTAACGCACTTTATTCTCACAAAACAAGCTAATGAATTAGATACTATCTTTGTTTCCATCCTGTGGCTGAGGAAACCAAGGCATAGATAGCCTTAATTACTTGCCCAGGATCACACAGCTAGGAAGCGTCCAAGCTAGCATTTGAGCATAGGTAGTCCCATTCTAGAACCCATGCTATTTTTTTTTTAAGCCCTTCATTATGGAAATGTTCAAGCATTAAGAAAAGAAGAGATCAATATAGTGAACGCTACTTTCAATAATCATCAATATTTTGCTATTTAATCCATTCATCACCCCTTTCTCCTCTCGTTTTGTCATGCATAGTTCTGTTCAGCAGCTCTGACTGTGTTGGCAGGCCATTAATCATCATACTCTCAGCCTCTCAGGACAGTAAACCTGCTCCCTGGAGTGGTTCCCAGGTCAGACCCTGTTTAGGGTAGAATTTAGTTAGAATGAATGTATAGTGGCAATCAGTATCATAATGTGTTCACAAGCCAGAACATGCTAAGGGCCACTGGTCCACTGATCACATTTTCAGTTGAGGACAGTGACTTTTCAGGGCCAAAGAGCTAGAACTACCACGCAGAGACCTGGACCTGGTCTCCTGCCTTCCTGCCCACTGTCTCCCATGTGCCTCAGCTTTGTTTCTATGAAAACTTGGGACCTTTCAGTTGCAAGAGCTAAAAATTCAGTTAAAGCTGCCCTAAAGAAAGATGGAGGGAGGGAAAGAGATAATTTATCGGCTCAAACTTAACTAGTTCCAGAGTAGATTCCTTCCAGAGTAGATGTCCTCAGTATGACTGTCTCCAGGGATTTAAATTGTATCTTCAGAACTTGATCTTGCCCTTCTTGAGTTCTGCTTCCTTCTGTGCTGGCTTGATCTGTAGGCAGGCATTTGATCATGTGCTGATCTGAGCTGTTCCAGGCTTCCCTCATCCTATAGCTAGCAATTCCAGTTGAAAGAGGTTTCTTTTCCCAGTAGTTTTAAGAGAAGTTTTGGAATCGGCTTGCTGGCCTGGCTTAGGCCACATGCCCATCTGCTAATCACTGTAGTTCCAGGAAGGGGTGGGGAAGTGGGTAGATGGAAAGCATTGATTGGTCAGGCCTAGAGCACTTGGAATGAAGTCTTTGGGTTGGTCCCCCAAACCACATGGGCTGTGTGTAAGGATGGTTCCCCAAAGGAGAGTTATGGTGCTGTTCTGTTGGAGGAGGGACCTTAAAGCTGGGCAGATCAAAAGAAATAGAGGTGAAGCATAAAACCCTTCAGCAGTTCTCTGTGGTTAACATTCGGATTTTGGTTACAGGTGCAGTCCCTGCAAGCCACATTCGGTACTTTTGAGTCCCTTGTGAGAAGCTCCCAACATAAACATGATCTCACAGAGAAAGCCGTGAAGCAGGGGGAGAGTGAGATCAACCGCATCAGTGAAGTTCTACAAAAACTCCAGAATGAGATCCTCAGAGACCTCTCTGATGGGATCCACGTGGTCAAGGATGCCCGGGAGCGGGACTTCACCTCCCTGGAGAACACTGTGGAGGAGAGGCTGACGGAGCTCACCAAGTCCATCAATGACAACATCGCCATCTTCACAGACGTCCAGAAGAGGAGCCAGAAGGAAATCAACGACGTGAAGGCCAAGGTCGCCTCTCTGGAAGACTCAGAGGGATACAAGCAGGATCTGAAAGCCTTAAAGGAAGTGGTTAAGGAAATACAGACCTCAGTGAAGTCCAAAGAGAAGGACATGGAGGCCCTGAGAAGCACCATCCAGACCATGGAGTCGGATGTCTACACGGAGGTCAAAGAACTGGTGAGCCTCAAACAGGAGCAGCAGAGGTTCAAGGAGGCGGCCGATTCGGAACATCACACCCTTCAGGCGCTCACGGAGAAGATCCTCAGGGCGGAGGAGTCGGTTGCCCGCCTCCCTGACGAGATCAGGAGACTCGAGGAGGAGCTCGGCCAACTCAAGGCCGCAGCCCTCCGGCCAGAAGAAGACGGGGCCTTCAGACCCTCCGAGGCCTTTGAAACGCTCCAGAAGGAGAGCCAGGGCTTGGACTCACGGCTGCAGAGCGTGGAAGACGGGGTGCAGGCGGCGCAGGCAGCCTGGGCGCGCCAGGGCGAGAGCCTGGAGGCGCTGCGCGCGCAGAGCGAGGAGCAGGCGCGGCGCCTGGCGGAGCTGCAGGAGCGCGTGGCCGGCCTGGGCCCCGCCACCGACGCCGAGGGCGGCCTGGCGGGCACGGTGCGTGGCCTCGGCGAGGCCCAGCTCTCGCTGGCTGGTGATGTGGACGAGCTGAAGCGCCGCATGGCTGAGCTCCCCGGCGCCGTGGAGGCTCTGCAGAAGGTGCAGGAGCAGGTCCACACGCTGCTGGGCCGCGAGGCCACCGCCACGCCCCCCCAGGACCTGCTGGACAGACTCTCCTCCCTTGACAACCTCAGAGCCTCCGTGGGCCAGGTAGAGTCGGACTTGAAAATGCTCAGGACTGCTGTGGACAGTTTGGTCGCGTACTCGGTGAAGATCGAGACCAATGAGAACAACTTGGAGTCGGCCAAGGGTTTGCTAGAGGACCTGAGGAATGACCTGGATAGGTTGTTTGTGAAAGTGGAAAAGATTCACGAGAAAGTCTAAACGGATTGCGTGTGCGGGGCACGGATGGCCAGTGCAGTTTTTTATGACCAAAAAAGAGTGTTGATGGCCCCCCCTCACCTCTTCCCCCACGGCCAGGCCCCTCCACGACCCGCACCACCAGGACCTCCTGGGCCTTCTATGTTTTTGTGCCCGGTTAACTTATTTATGATGGTTATCACGCGCCACCGGTTGCGCAAAAGTCTTCTGCTTCTGCTTTGGGTGGGGGGCGTTCCTGAAGGCCCGGCTTCAGTGCCTCAGAGGCACCTTCTAGAAGGGATGTCTCTCCCCAGTGTCAGGGAAGAACCATAGTGGCTGCAATTGAGGATTAACAGAAGCAGATTAACCTCAAAAATCCTGCCTGGCTGGCAGATTTCAAGCAAAATGTGGGGGGAGGAGGTGCTTTTCTTTCTAATTGTCTTTAAGGAAAATTCATTTTATTTTGTTTTTATTTTTATTTTTTTTTAGTACTTTTGGCCAAGGTTTTCATGAGATGTCACTCACTTCTTGTCTTCCACTTCCAACTGGTTATGACTTGTTAAGGTCAACTCTGAATCGAGAGGGGGGCCAAGCCCTCCATTTTTAGTTGCATCGGCTGCTTGATGGTCGCCTTCTGTGGGGAAAGGTGTCTTTTTCATTCCTGAACCATTTCACGATCTCAGTGGTAACTATGCAAAGAATTCAGACGGTTCTGAATGTGAAGGCACAACTCCCCACAGAGTCCCCTGTGGCTGACCTGTGTCACTTCTTGATAAGGCCCCAAATAGTGCATTCAGAATAAGGGTTTAGAATCCCTGAGAGTCCTTGGATTCCTTCAGGAAATGTATTACGAGAGCTGCTCATAAAGGCATAGACTGCCTCCCCAGGGAATGGAGGCCACTGTCTCTCTTTCACCACAATGTTCTTGAAGAGGTTTGGTGTCAGCAGACCCCATTCATCAGTGAGGAACGTGTGCATTTTCTGTAGCCATTTGCTGTTTCCCTTCCCCCTTTGAGCTGTACTGTTCTTTAATGGCTGTCTTGCCCTTTAAAAAAGAAAAAAGAAAAAAAGGAAAAAGAAAAAAAAGGTCTGTTTAGTTTACTGTGAAATGAACTGTATGGCTTATTTACAGTATTTTTAATTCTTAATAAACACTTGAGCTTTGTTATGACTTTTCCAGAGTGGTGGTTTTCTGAGAATTTGGTAACTTTTAATGATTTATTAATGTGCAGTATTCAGGATTAGAAAGATGAGTAGTATTCAATTGTAAAACTTTTTTTGTTTAATTCTGCAATCAAGATGTCCTCCCTGTTAGGCCTGGGCACCTAGTTCTGATTTGACTGTTAGCAGTTTTCTTTATAGGTCATTGCTTGACCCCAGTGCTTAACTATAGCAGAGGGTTACAACCCTGGCTTTCTGTTAGACTCTTGGAGCCTTAAAAAATACCTGGGGCCCCTCTCCATTGATTTGGATTCAGTGGGTACAGAAGACTGGCACTAGCATTTTAAAGGCTTCCTAGCTGAGGGACTTCCCTGGTGGTCTAGTGGCTAAGATTCTCCACTCCCAGTGCAGGGGACCCAGGTTCAATCCCTGGTCAGGGAGCTAGATCTCACATGCCACAGTTAAAAGAGCTTGAAGGCCACAGCTAAGATCTGGTGCAGCCAAATAAGGAAAAATAAATGTTAAAAAAAAAAAATCAATAAAGTCTCCCTAGCTGATTCTAATGTGCCGCCAGGTTTGAGAATCAGTGTGTTGATTCATCTGGGTGACCTTTGGCCTCTGTGCAAACCTAGGAATATTGACTTCTCAGGTTGCCATACCTGCCACTCTATAACAAAGGATACTGTTTATTGAATTGAGTACCTGTCTGCCAGGCATGGTGCTTAGCACTTCATAGGCTTCTGTTTATTCCTTCTAATATTCCCTGGAGTAGGCAGTATCATTCCCCGTTTTATAAAGGAACAACAGGCTTGTAAACAAGCACAATGTTAGCTTGGAAAGGGCAGGGCTGGGGTGTGAACCCAGTCCCTGCTCTTAGCTGTGAGTGTCCTCCACCTTCCACCAGCACACGGGCAGGGCTGCGCTGACCTGTGCAGTACCTGCTGTCTGTCGGTTCAGAGACTGCATGAGCTCATCTCTCCCAAAGAGAGAGGGCTCCGGGAAGGCCAAGACCTGAGTGCATGTGGAGCTTCAAGCTTCCACTCTACTGGAGGGCCTCTCATCTCTGAACTTCTCTGTCGGTCATTCTGCATCCTGGGGTCAGCATCCCTAAGCCTTCACGACTCTTATTTTTCCCAAAGCAGTTTGCGCACCAAGATGGGCCCTTTATTAATGTTAGCTATCATCTGTATTTTCATTTTAAAGTCAAAGAGTTGATATGTATGTTTTAACAACTCATTTTGCCCTCTTTGGGGGAGGGTGCTGAGCAGGATAAACCCCCATGTTTGTAGCAAATTAAATTCTGGTTCCTTCTCAGGTCGGTTGGTTGCATCAGGCATATTCTTGCTCTCTTACCTACGTTTCTGCAGTCCTTAATCTCAGACTGTGGAGTAGTTTAATATATTCTTATTGCATATTCATAGTTGAAAACATCTACTAGGGTCAGAGAAGTAATCAGATATAAATTCAAGTGGTAAAGATGAATGCATTATGAGATCTTACCCCAAGTAACGATCACAGTCCAGTCTTATTCATGTGTCTGCTCACTTATCCATTCAATGGACATTTGTTGAGCCCATAGCCAAACATTTTGCCAAATACCAGTGAATTCAGGAAGCACCTGACAGGATCCTTGTCTTTCAAGGACCTATAGCTGAGGGGAGTGGGAGTGACAGTCCTCAAAGCTGGTGGATGGCATAAGGAAACAGGTGCTGTAGCCAGGTCTAATGGGGTACAGAAGAGAGTGGCAAGTTCTTCGAGACTTGGGCCAGGATGGTTAGCATAGATTCCCAGAGGCCTGCGGGAAATCAATTGGAATGTGTCTGTGAATCATGGGAACACTCAGGAAACATGAGGCTGCCCCACCCTTTGAACAGGGGATAGGCGCAAGTTACTGAAGCCCTTGATTAAACTGTGGACGATTCAGGGACTTCCCTGGTGGTCCAGTGGCTAAGACTCCATACTCCCAGTGCAGGGTGCTTGGGTTTGATCCCTGGTCAGGGAACTAGATTCCACATGCCACAACTAAAAAGAACCCGAATGCCATAATGAAGATCGAAGATCTTGCATGCTGCAGTTAAGACCCGGTGCAGCCAAATAAATAAGAATAAATACTAAAAAACAAACTGTGGGTGACCCAGCACCAGGATAATCGACTGCAGTGAAATTCCCCAGGCAAGACTGGCAGCATGCTGGTAAGGGAAGTGCTACCATGTCCCATGGCACTTAGGATGGTGATGATGGTGAGGGTGATGATGATACCTAACAGGATGACTGTGAGGGTTGCATGGGGCCATGGGTGGAGAGGGTTTAGGTTAACAGCATCTGGCTATAGCAAGAACTCCAGGGCTCATTCATGTGCAGCCACACCGGAGGTTAAAAGATTGAAATACTTCTGCGCTGCTTGGTAAACACCTGCAGCCCTGAGTGCCTTCTTTTGGGACCACTAACCTTCTTACAGTCTGGCAACTAACAGGCTAAAATATGGATGTACTGGAAGCTCTAGGACAGTGCTTCAGCCTCATGGCCAGCATTAATTCGGATGACTGGGCACGCATGCTTTGACAGTGGTTAAATATTTAGAAATCACCCTATGTTTTCCACAAGAGCCTGTGGAAAAGATCCTGATGCTGGAAACGATTGAGGTCAGGAGGAGAAGGGGCTTCTAGAGGATGAGATGGTTGGATGGCATCACCAACTCAATGGACATGCATTTGAGCAAACTCTGGGAGATCATGAAGGACAGGGAAGCCTGGCAGGCTGCAGTTCATGGGGTCACAGAGTCAGACATGACTGAGCAACAAGAAAATGTTTTCTTCAAAGCATGATTCTGTGCTATGGATCTAAATATCCAGTAACATCTGGACACACTGCACCACCCCCTGCCCCCCGACATCTCACAGGGTTCAAAACTAAAGTCATTGCTTTTCCCTGGAATCAGTGTAACCACGGTTCCCTTGTTGCTTGAACTAGAAGCTCAAGAGTCCCTCCTGTCTTCCCAACTCTCCACTTTCCTGTCCTTCCCCATCCTCTTGGATGGAAACCCAGACACAGCCACTCCATCCCACATCCCCCAGCCTTTCCTCCATCACTGGATGGTCCCTGAATTCCAGCAGCAACCTCTGACTGCACCCTCTGCCTATTAATACAGAAATCTGGTTCATGCACTCACCATTCACTCACTACTTGGAGAGCACCGCTCTTTGTGGAACAAAGAGAGGACAAGGAACAAGACACGTGGTTCCTGCCTTCATGAGGTTTACAGTCCGGCTCTGGGGAGGCAGTAGATGTGGAAAGAAACAGCTAACTGTACAAACTGCAGTCCGTATCTCGAGGGATATGAACAGCTCCTAGCTGGCCTCTTTGTCCCCAGCCCCAGTGGGTAACCGGTGTGATGTTTCTCAAAAGCTTTGAGAAAGAGACTTTCTCAAAAGTCAGCCTGTGTCCTTTTCCCCCACTTAATCCTTCAGTGTCTCCCCTTTGGCTTCAGAAGAATATCCCAGTTAAAAACCTGTGTGCTTACAGACACAACAGGTCACATGTTGTATGATTCCATGTATATGAAATATCCAGAATAAATCTACAGTGACTGAAGGCAAGTTGATGGTTATGGGGGTAGAGGGAGGGGGAAGGAGTTGTGGAGGGCATCTGCTTAGCAGCTCCCAGGTTTCTTTTGGGGTGATGAAAATGATACCATAATAGTGCTGGTTGTTACACAACACCGTGGTCATAATAAACTCCACTGAATGATTCACTTTAAAATGTTTAACTTTGTTATGTGAATTTCATCTCAATTAAAAAAATGGAAAAAAATGGAAAAAAATGAAAAAAACAAAAATAAACACAGGAAAAGTCCTGTGCTCTGAATTACTCTAGAACTGATTTCTTCAGTGAAAAATACCCAGTACTTCTTGAGTTTACTTTTTATTGAAGTATATCGTGTGAGTTTTAAGGCATACACATCAGAAGTACACAGCTGAATGAATTTCTACACGACACACCCTGTGCTAACCACCAGATCAAGACAGACGTTTTCAGTACCCCACAAGCTTCCTATGCCCCAAAGTCACGTTACTTCCCAAGGTAACCACTCTTTTGACTACCATCATCATAGACTACTTTAGTACATTCTTGACTTTTATATAGATTGAATCATACCACATAAGACCTGATATTCCTTTAAAAAAAACTTCATTGAGATATAATTCACACACTACAAGATTTATTAAAATACACGATTGCTCTTAGTATATTTACTTAAGGCTGAAAACATTCTTATTTGATAAATCTTGCCCCGTCACAGACTTTAAAAAAAAAGGCACATAGTAGGTGTTCAATAAACAGCATCTGTTTGCGTTCATAAGGTTTTTTGAACTGGACAACAAATTTTAGGGTCTCCATCTTACTAGTCAACAACTCTGTGAGGACAAAGTGTGAAGAGTGGTAGAAACCACTCCCTCCCGGGCTGGGTCCAGAGGGGAGGAGGTGAAAACCACAGAGCAGGGACTTTGACTGCCTGTCCTCCTCCTCAGGCTGCATCGGGCCAAGACTGGATTCCACAGGCCGGCGTTTATTATGAACAGGGCAGAACTGTATTCACTCTGGGAGACAAGATGAAGGCTGAGGTCTCCTTTCCTTGAGAGATTCCCACTCACGTATGTAGGATCACGTGTCGTACGGCATGCAGTGGCAAAGGTAGGATCACGTGTCGTACGGCATGCAGTGGCAAAGGTAGGATCACGTGTCGTACGGCACGCAGTGGCAAAGGTAGGATCACGTGTCGTACGGCACGCAGTGGCAAAGATAGGATCACGTGTCGTACGGCACGCAGTGGCAAGGGTTGCATACAGGAGGGAGTGATGAGGCCCTGGACCTTTGCTGTCGCCTGCCCAGCATCAGTCCTCCCGTGTCTGACAACAGCTCTTCTGTTTTTATTCACACAATCACTCCTTCCCATTCCTGGTCCACTGCAATTTGATGAGACTGACCGGGGATAAACACATGACCCAGGAC